ATATAGGATTTTAAGACATTGACAGCCTTTTTGTCAATGTGCTTCTAGTCTTTTTGGAGATCTGACATTTGTTCTCAAGTGAAGGACCTGTGTTAACATCATTCCTGAAAACCTTCCATGTTTAAAAAAGTTTTATACTTTGAGCTATACTATTTTTTTTTACTTTGAAAGTCATTTTGATTCAATATTAGAGTGTTGATTTGCATTTTCTGTCCTTGAGTAGCTTAGAGGTGTCACTCCCTTTTTCTCATCATAAAACATCACTATTGGAAAGTCTAATGACAATGTCTTATTCCTTCCCTTAGGAATAAGATATTAGAAGTACCTTGGTTGGCCAGGCATGGTGGCTCATACCTGTAATCCCAGCACTTTGGGAAGCTGAGGCAGGTGTATCACCTGAGGTCAAGAGTTCAGGACCAACCTGGCCAATATGGTAAAACTCCATCTCTACTAAAAATATAAAAATTAGCTGGGCATAGTGGCAGGTGCCTGTAATCCCAGCTACTCAGGAGGCTGAGTCAGGAGAATTGCTTGAATCTGGGGGGTGGAGGTTGCAGTGAGCCGAGATCACACCACTTCAGTCCAGTCTGGGCGAAAGAGTAAAACTCCGTCTCAAAAAACAACAATTACAACAACAACAACAAAAAAAACAAGTTGTTTGTTTTTGTTTTGCTCTACTGTCTGCACTGTTTTCATAGGGAGAGTAAGATTCAAACACTTTACCACTATCATCTGTCCAGAATTTCTCCCATTTTTCTTGAAAAATAAATAAATAAGTTCTGTGATTTTGTTATTGACAAATGTATGAGACTATTTTCACCTATAAGATCACTGAGATTGTTCAGATATTTTCTTCTCCAAATCTCATGTTGAAATTTGATCCCCAATGTTAGAGTGGGGCCTAATGGGAGGAATTTGGGTCATGGGGACTGATTCCTTATGAATGCCTTGGTGGCATCTTCGTAACAAGTGAGTTCTTGCTCTATTAGTTCTCCCCACCCACCCAGAACTGATTGTTTAAAGTCTTTTTAAAAGTCTACCCCCTCCCTCCCCACTCTTGCTTCCTTCCTTTCACCATATGTTACCTACTCCCTTTAACCTTCTACCATGAGTGGAAGCTTCCTGAGACCCTCAGCAGAAGCAGATGTTGGCACCATGTTTCTTATACGACCTGCAGAACCATGAGCCAAATAAACATCTCTTCTTATTACCCAACCTCCGGTATTCCTTTACAGCAACGCAAATGGACCAAGATGATCCTTGGAAAAGTTGAGCTTTGGAGCTATGCTTTTGAAGTCTCCTGAAATTTTAAGAGCCACTGTTTTTGCTTTTGAATTTACATGTGCATGGCCTCATTTGAGCCAAGTATATGGTTAAGATTTACAAATCACAATATTGTGAAGGGGCTCTGGGGTCAGACAGTCTGGAATCAAATCCTGCTTCTACCACTCTGTCGTTTTACCTTTTACATATTAATTTATTCCTCTGCATTTTCTTCATCTATGACATGCAAATACTACTGCTCCAACTACCACCACTAACTGCCTCAAAGGGTAATTAGGATTAAATAATGTTGGATATTTTAAGGTTAATACATTCGTGTTTATAATATTTTGATTTGAGAGCATTCTAATGCATAGAAGTAAGGTAACATTGTAGAGGACAATTGAAAATACAATCATTTCTTTAACATTACATAAAAATTTTTACAAAGAATGTCAATTAAATAGTTTCCAAATAAGTTTATGAATACATCAGAATTTAAAAGTATCTCCTAACTATCAGAAATTGTATTTAGATTTAGTATTAAGAGCCAGGTCACCAAGATTGCTGCTGTCACTATTCACAGCAATCAGGTAAGGCAATGTGTTATGGAGAGAAGTTGGCTTTGTCCTCACACTTGGGCAGAACCTGACTTATGTCCTGCTTTCATTACTTATTAAGAGTTTAGATCGATTTGTTGTACCCACAGTGAAAGCTTCCTTTTAAGTCTGTGAGTTTGCAAACGATCAAATTTAATGAATGTTAATTGAGCATCTACTAACTGCTAGAAACTGGCACAGGCACAAGGCATACAACAATGAACAAAAAGAGTCCTCGCCCTCCTGGAACTTACAGTTCAAGGTCAAAGCCAAACAAAGGACCCACAACTACCTGGAGTGATAGGTGCTGTAATACAGAAGAACCAGGCATTACGGAAGATGCTGCTTCACTCGGACGTGAGGTTCAGGGAAGGTTTCCTGAAGAAAGTTATCCCTTAGTTGGTAGCTAAAGATGTGTAGGAATTCCCAAGCTAAGAGGAAGAGAGACAGAAAAGGTTTGTGTAGAGTTGTGGAGACACGCACATTTGAGGACACGAAACCTGAAGGACTAATTCATAAAGTAGTGTTCCCAACACTGGCTGGAGAGTTTTTAAAAATACAAATATTTTAAGGAACCCCACGCCAAACTTAATGAGTCACATTCTCAGGGAATGAGTCCCAGGATTCTTATTATTAGCTCATACGGGGAGCCACTGGCTCAGGGTGTGTTGGGGGAGGTTGGAGAAGAGGTGTCAAGGGCAGGGAAGTTGAGGCTGGAGAGATAAACCAGGGGTGGACCTTGAAGGGTTTGCAAACAACATTATGGAGTTTGAATTTTATCCTAAGGGCTGGGGGAGCTGTGGAAGAATTTGTTGAGTATGGAGATAAGTTCATCAGATTTGCAGTTTCTAAAGATCACTCAGTTGAGTAAGACATGGTGCCTACCTTCATGGGGGATACAATCTAATTTATAAGGTTCAACCTCTTTAAGCCTCAGTTTAAAAAATCTAAAATGGAAGTAATACCTACTTTGCATGGTTCCTGTGAGGTTTAACTGAGATAACTTATATGAAGTACATAGTACCATGCCTGATACACTGTTGGAACTCAAAAGATGTGAATTACTATTATTTGAGAAAGTGATAGAGCCAAATAATTGGTGGATATTACACACTGACTCCTATACAACCTCAGAGAAGGAGGAGATCTGTTTCCAGAATCTTCTAACGAATCCTTTTTCTTGGCCCACACCTGGGACACCAGAAAGAGCCCACTCTTATCTCACTCCCCACTCTCTAATTTGCATGGCTTTAGTTACAGTCTTCATCCTGATGACTTCCAAATCTCCACTTCCAGGCTGTTTTGTTTGTTTGTTTGTTTGTTTGTTTGTTTGTTTTTGTAAGCTCCAAAAATCCATACATTCATCTGCAACCTAGATAGTTTCACTTGAATGTCTGTGGATACTTCATTCAAATTAGGTCTTCTAATACCATATACCACCCCAAGAAAACCAAACTAAGCCAAACCGAACCAGCTTTTCCAACATTAGCCCTACTAAGTTAAGCCAGGGACATGGGAATCATCTCGAATCACTCATTCCTATCTTCTCCAATCAGGCTTCCCAAATCCACACTCTTCTTTCCAGGCATACACCACCACCACCACCACCCTCATACAAACTATCACCACTTCTTCCCATGAGGACTAGTGAAATAGCCTCTGTTTCGTATACCATTCTTTGCACCCACCCCAACCCTGCACCCTGTAATTCTGAGAAACCTCCTAAGATACAAAATTGATAATACTTCTTCCCCCACAACACTTCAGCCTCTTAAGGGGCTTTCTAATGCCCTTAAAAATGAACTCCAAACTCTACCAAGATGCTTCCTGAAGGATCTTAAAGGTAAGACCCTTCAAGCTCTTACCTCTTAAGTCTCCCTTTCTCGCATGCTGCCTTTCTTATTTGATGCTCCAGTCATTCTGAACTAGAAAAAAAAGTCACCTTCTCTCTCACTCCCAGATCTATGCAACATGATGATTTGTCCAACCAGGATCCCTTTCACACTAGATAATTCTTTGTCCCTTAGGCCTTGGGGAATCAGCCCTTGAACCTTTATATTAGTTGAGGTTCCCTCATTTATGGATTTGTAGTCTCTTCATCTCCTCTCCCTTCTAGTGCTATTTGTTATACTTGTAACTTCTTAATGCCCCATCTTCCCCACCAGTTGTAAGCAACATGGTGGCAAAAGAATATATAGAGTCGATCCACATTATTCACAGATTCTCCTTGGGAATTTGCCTACTTGTTCAAGTTTACTTGTAACCCCCAATCGATACATTCATTCTTGGACATGCACAGAGAAGTGAAACATTTGAGTCTTCCAATGCACGTGTTCTCAGCTGAGGCTGATGAAGTCGATTCTCTGCCTTCTTGTTTCAGTTCTCATACTGTAAGCAAGGGTCCATTTTGTGGTCCATTTAGTGCCATAATTTTTGCATTTTTGTGCTTTTTGTTGGTTATTTCACTGTTCTCAGTGGCCCCCAGGTGTGATGCTGAAGTGCTACCTGTGCTTTGTAAGCGCAAGAAGTTGTGGAGTGCCTGAAAGAGAAAATATCTGTGTTAAATAAGCTCCATTCATGAGTTATATCCTCTGGGTCATGAGTTCAATGTGAATGAATGAAACATATGTGACCTTATTTCAATAAGATGTCTTCAAACAGAAATATACATAAAACAAGGTTATGTGTCCATCAGCTGATGAAAATTTGTAGCCAGAGGCTTGCAGGAACCTAATCCTATTTTTCTCCTAAGAGAAGCAGTTTAGTATTGGCTAATTCAGTGTTTGCAGTTACTTTATAGAACAAAACTACTGCAAATAGTAAGAAATAACTGTACTTTAATAACTTTGCTATCCTCAGTAGCTAACACAGTGATTCTCATGTAATCATTAATCAATAAATATTTGTTGAAACTGAATTTTTGTATGTTATATATTTATATAGACATATATATATGTTCACACACATGCTTTATACATATATATGTAGAAATAATATGTAATATAGAAATAAATTAAGCTAAAGTTGTCTTTCATGCCAAAGATGTACCGCACAGCTGTATTGTTACATTCTGCCTCTTAAAAAATGCCTAAATGTGGGCTTAGTTTTGATAGCATCTTTATTTTTATTTTTGTCTAGGATGCTGGGGAAATGGTTCGTTCCTTTGTTGGTGGTTTGGAACTTATCGTCAATTTACTGAAATCAGATAACAAAGAAGTTTTGGCAAGTGTATGTGCTGCCATTACCAACATAGCAAAAGATCAAGAAAATTTAGCTGTTATTACAGATCATGGAGTTGTTCCTTTATTGTCCAAGCTGGCAAATACAGTAAGTAACATATCCTTTTGTTTTAAATGCCTATTGTCATAAGATATCATGGTGTCATGATGAAAACAATGCATTTTTAGTCCAAAAACCTGGATTCAAGTTTAATACCCATTGCTTATGGGGTATGAGATTTGGTCAACTCATTTAGTTTCTCTGGGACTAATATATGTGAAAGTGTGTTTTAAACTATAAAATGTTAATATTGCAAGATCCTTATAAAATAGAAGCTGTTCTTTATTTGCCACTGGCAAGTGAAGTGGCAAATACAGACGCCATTATGTAAGTGTTAACTATCATCTTCACCACCACCATCGTGGTTATGATTCTTGCTGGTTTTTCATGCCAACGTTAGAAGTCAAATGTGCCTCCCCCAGCTTAGCAAGCTTCGATCGATGGCATTCTTGAGCTAGAAGACTTTGGCAATCATTGCGTTGTTTATCCAGAGTGGTGCCAGACAGTATAAGCAGCCTTGAGAGACAATGACTTCACCATGACCAGAGGTATTTGAGCATAGCTTGGACTACCACTTGGCAGGAAAGTAGTAGAGCAGAAATTCAAACACTGGAAGGATGCTTGGTCTAGCAGACTTTAAGTTGCTAAGAGTGTCTGTCAGATTCAGTTAAGGACACTAAGCTGTTACCTGAGTCAAAAGAACAGTACTCTTAATAAACACAAAACCATCCGATGCAGTTATAGTATGCCTATGCAAGGCAACTACATATATGAAGAAGGATATAGTCTGCATCAAAAAACACAGAAAGGAAAATGGAAGACCCAAAATGTGTCATTGGATTTGCTGCACTCTCTTCTCTTTCTTAGGAGTCAAGGGAACAAAGGTGTATTAATGATATATAGAGGTATTCCTAGGGTGGATAAATCAAGTCAATCTACTTATCCCAGTTAAGTGCAGTATCCCTTTAAGAATATTCAATATTTTTTAAATATTTGCATTCCAAAACAACTTGCTGATCTGTAATTTTGTGTTATCTAGTAGACTTACTCAAAAGAAAAGCTACGCTTGAGCAAATGACTGATGTCAGATGCCTGGTCACCTTTCAGTGCACTAGCTACATTCAGTACATAACAAGAAAACTCAAGATTGAACGTTTGTCAATTGGTAACCCACCAAAAATCTAGTTCCTTCAGCTGGGTGCAGTGGCTCACACCTGTAATCCCAGGACTTTGGGAGACCAAGGCGAGCAGATCACTTGAGGCCAAAAGTTCGAGACCAGCCTGGCCAACATGGTGAAACCTCGTCTGTACTAAAAATACAAAAATTAGCCAGGCATGGTGGTGGGCGTCTGTAATCCCAGCTACTTGAGAGGCTGAGGCATGAGAATCATTTGAACCCAGGAGGCAGAGGTTGCAGTGAGCTGAGATTGTACCACTGCACTCCAGCCTGGGCAACAGAGTGAGATTCCGTCTAAAAAAGACTAGTTCCTTCAAGACATCACCTCGGTAACCAGCCAGCTGGCCCTTCTTCTCTAGACTCATTGGTGTCGTAATGGTTAATAAAGTACTTATAGACATGATCTCGCAGGGTCATTGTGATGCATGATTCATTTTTCTTTGCACAGAATAACAATAAACTGAGGCATCATCTAGCAGAAGCTATTTCACGTTGCTGTATGTGGGGCAGGAACAGAGTGGCCTTTGGTGAGCACAAAGCAGTGGCTCCATTAGTGCGTTACCTGAAATCAAATGACACCAACGTGCATCGGGCAACAGCTCAGGCCTTGTACCAACTCTCAGAAGATGCTGATAACTGCATTACCATGCATGAGAATGGTGCAGTAAAGGTACAGTTGAATGACTTTGTGGTTTAGTCCAAGTTTGGTTGATGTAGCCTGGAAAGAAACTTAGGCATCACTAAGATTTCTCTAAAGGAGGTATTCAGACACACAGACGTGCCAGCCTGCTGTGTCACAGCTGCATTCAAGCCATGTGTTATGGTGAATTTTTTCAGCAAGGTCTTATTGTGTTCCCCAGGGATGGAGTGTAATGGTGCAGTCATAGTTCACTGCAGCCTTGAACTCCTGGGCTCAAGTGATCTTCTGCCTCACCCTCCCAAGTAGCCAGGACTACAGGTGCATACCACCATACCTGGCTAATTCTTTTAATTTTGTATGGAGACAGGTCTCGCCATGCTGCCCTGGCTGGTCTTGCCTCAAGTGATCCTCCTGCTTCAGCCTCCCAAAGTGTTGGGACTACAGGAGTGAGCCGCCATGCCCGTATGTTACAATGATTTATGCTGCAGAAAAGTTATATGGAGACAGAATTTTTCTAAATTAAAGGATAGAAACGTAGTTAGTAAAACAATCATTCCATAATTTGGTTTTGAAGAAAGAAAATGTACAGCACATGAACAAGAAGTAGTATTCATAATTCTATTGGCTATAGTGTTTACTTAACACATAAATAATAAAGGATAAAGACAACCATAGGCACCAATTAAACACCAAAGGAACTGGCTGAAACAGTAACTAGATGGAGCTTGACAGGCTAAACCGTAACAACAATGGATAGATTCCAAGACATGTTTATTTGTTTGTTTGTTTGTTTGTTTAAATCTGAGCATCAGGAGACCATTAGGAAAGTTTCTGTAAAGAGATTCTAACTTATCTACACATTGCAAACTGCCTAGAATATTTTACTGGCAATATAAAAATACAGTACATGAACAGCTTACACGTATCAGGAAAAATTGATTAAAAATATTAGTTCTTTTCTATAGCCTGTTTCCTTGTACAATATACTTTTACTGTTTATTACCTTCATTTGGAGCCTATGACAACCAGATGTATTTACATCTTAAAATACATGCCAAAAATAGACTTGTTGTTTTAGCTAAGAGTTAAAAACCCCAGTTAGTCATATCTAGTCAAATCTAGATGTACCAGATATGAAATATCTTAGGAGGAATAGTACTCTTAAAATACCAATTGGTAATTTTTGAGGCAATTATTTTTAATTAATTCTTGAAATCTATTCCAGTGGAAGAATATGATGTTAATTTTTCTGAAATTAATCTCAATTTATGTTTGAATGTGTCAACTTTTCCATTGTAAATCTGTTTTTATGGCATGTAAATTAGGCCAGATTAGTTTCTTCAAGCAAAAATCTGGAGGAAAAAAAAAAGAATCTTTTAAACTAAGTAACAGTTTTTAAAAGTAAATTATAAAAAATATATTGGAATATTAACTTCAAGTTGTTCGGGAATGACAAAAATGCCATCATCTCAAGATGACTGTGTTCCCATTTCAAAAAGGAAGGTATTTCTAATTTAAAATTATACTTACTTTTATTGAACAGGGACTTGCACAACCTAAGTATACAGCCTTTAAAAAAAAAAGAAACTGTAAAATTTAAGCAGCCAGGAAAAAGGTCTGACATATAGCATATGCATAAGACAACTGCCAGGCCAGTTAGTTGAAGCTCAAAAAGTTTTGAAATGTATTAAAGCGTACCTTTAATGGTTCAGTTGACATAAATGCCTGGTATATATGCAACTTGCAATTATTTCTTCTGATACAAACCAATAGATAATCCAAAATCATTTATGAATATTATTCGACCTTGTAAAGTGATGAAACTGTGTTCGCCCACCCACACAGTTAGGAAAGTTTCTGTAAAGAGAAACTTTAGAATTAGAAAAAGAAAAGCCGTAAGAAAGATTAAGGTGAAGGACAGAAAAGAAGAAAGCAAAGACGGAAGACTGACAGTCATGTTCTAGAGCCTTTCTAGGGTTATTTTTGGGTTTCTTGGGGACCTTTCTATTTAGTCTGTTTGCATTTCAAACCACTTGTTATTTCTATTGGAGAATAACTGTAAGGAACAGAGTACTTTTTTTTGGTAAATTACTTGGCAGTAGCATAGAAGCAGGCCTTGCCATGGTGTGTTATCAGCAAAAATATGCAACGTGGAAATTGTTTCTCTCAATCGTTTTTTCCTACTTTTCTGAGCCCCAGAACTCATGAGGTCATGAGGGAAGCATAAGAACCTCTGCTTCCTTTCTCTGGCTTTCTTCAAGGAGGAAAAAAAATGTAAATGTGGCATATCGGGTGTTGGTAGAATCATAATTTGATAGTTGCTTGGACATGGGAATAAAGGAAAGCCTAGTAAAAAATTATTCCAGATTTCAGCCTAGATGAAGACGAAGATTTCATGAGCCAGATAATGCAAAAAAAATTGTTGGCACATCGGGGTGCTTCAATTACCTGCAGAGAATGTGTCACAACTAAATGTGTGACTTCTAACATTTCTGACTTTGAATGCATGTAAACTTTATACAGTATTTTGGCAAAACCCTGGCTGTCTTTGTTCCTTACTGCTGCTGTCCACTTCTAGTCAAATGCTTGTTGTGTTATTTTCCAGTCGCACAAACATTCCTCTGCAGCTGCCAGTGAGTGAATGTTGACAGGCTCTTTCACAACAACCAGAGTCACCCTGTCACCTATTCATAAGTGATTGATCCTAGGGTTAGCTGCTTTGTTAGACAATTTCCTCAACAGCAATGGACAATGCAATGCAGTGTATTTGTCTTCCAAAGGCTGAGGTTTATTCTGTCCTGACAGTGAAGGAGCAGGATCTGGAATATAATGAGTTCAGTTTCTAATGTGTTCGGTTTGAATAGTCAGTTTGAATTTTAAGTGCAGAGCAGCGCTGCCCAGCAGAAATGTCACATGAGCCACGTATGTAATACTAAATTTTCCAGCAGTCACATTTTAAGAAAAGATAAAAGAAAACAGGTGAAATTAATGTTAGTAATATATTTAACCCAATACACTTGACCCTTGAACAATGTAGGGGTTAGAGGTAATGACCCACTACACTGTCAAAATCCACATATAACTTTTGACTGCCCCAGAACTTAACTACTAATAGCCTACATCAACAGTTGATTAATATGTATTTCATGTTTTATGTATTAGTACAGTAAAATTAGAGGGAGAAAAATGTTAAGAGAAAATAAGGAAAATATATTTACTGTTTATTAAGTGGAAGTGTATCGTCACAAAGGTCATCCTTGTCATCTTCACGTTGAGTAGGCTTAAGAGGAGGAGAAAGAAGATGGGTTGGTCTTGCTGTCTCAGGAGTGGCAGACGCAGAAGAAAATCCATATATAAGTGGACTCTTGCAGTTTAAACTTCTGTTGTTCAAGGGCAAACTGTGTATATCCAAAATATTGTTATTTCAACATATAATCAATATAAAAATTACTTAAAAGATACTTTATATTATTATTATTATTTATTTTTGAGACCGAGTTTTGGTCTTGTTGCCCAGGCTAGAGTGCAATGGCGTGGTCTTGGCTAACTTCAATCTCCGCCTCCTGGGTTTAAGTGATTCTCCTGCATCAGCCTCCTGAGCAGCTGGGATTACAGGCACCCACCATGACAACCAGCTAATTCTTATATTTTCAATAGAGATGGGGTTTCACCATGTTGGCCAGGCTGGTCTCGAACACCCGACCTCAGGTGATCCACCTGCCTTCGGCTTTGTACCCAACTCTTCAAAATCTGTTGTGTGTTTTCCAGTATATCTCAGTTTGTACCAGCCACATTTTAAGTGTTCACTAGTGGCTAGTGTTTTCCTTTCAGGACCGTACAATTCCAGAGGAGAGGGTGGAGAGATTTGGAAATTATCAGCAGGGGGTATTAAGCCATTAATGAGGGTGGATGACACTTTTGGCAGAAAGTTTATAGAGGCCCAGGAAATATCTACATTTTTACTTTTGGGTCACGTAAACTAGGAAGAAGAGCTGTCAGACTAGACTGGAGAAGTTAAGAGGTTAACCAGGAGTTCTAGAAGCCGAAAGAAGAGCAACTTTCAAAAGGGTTTGTGTTTAAATACCGCTAAGAGGTCACCAAGTGTTTCCTGATCCAGTTATGTTGAAAAATCAGCCTGTGTTTTAGAAGAGGTAAGAATCTCTTCTAAATGTGTTAATCAATCCCCTACAATATAGGGCGATAGGAATATTTAATCCTATTCTCTTTATGATTTTGCACAGACATCCTTTTCAAATGTATCAGCCCAGGGATTTGTACCATTACAAAATCTTGTGAATATAAATGCAGATTTGTTGCAAACTATGTTGAAAATATGAGAAGTCTAAGAGATACCTAAGTTATTTGTTAGTTATAACGAAACTGTAACATAGGAGAGTAATGAAGAAGAATAAATCGCAGGAAAAAAATCATCAAGGCAAGCCCTTTCCTAGGCAAGAAAAAGTGATTAAGTAGAAAACTGATGAGCACCTATAAAAGGCATCAAGCTTCTTTCTTTCCCCATGGTGACATTGGATTTGTTTTTGTAAATGTCTATACCAGGCAAGTGAAAGCTACATAATGGCTTATAACTTTCTGAAAGGCAGGAAATTGAGGAGATTGCAGACAAATGAAACCAGAAGTATGTCCAGCATTGGCAGAGTGAGCGGAGAGCAGTTCAATTGGAACTGCTAAACTGGTACAGCCAACAGGCTAGCTGCCTCCTAGGCTCAGTACATGTACTGGCATTCCAGAGAGCCAGAAAGATGAACCCAGAGGCAAACACACCCATCGTTTTTGAAGCCTAGCACAGGAAAAAAAAATACTGCTAATGTTTGTGAGTCAAGTAAATGGATTTTAGAGACTAAGGTCACGTAGGAACACTCACTAAGTGCCTATATACTTAATGTTTTATCTAAATACATTTTCTGTTAATTAAAACTCTTAATATCACTGTAGTTTTGAGTACTTTTCTCCCATTCCAGACATTCCTTGGAGTGCTGAGGAGAGTTTACTAGATGATATGCTATTAA